TTTAGAAGTCATTTTTCCGGAATCCAATTCGGAAAATGTCGGATATTAAAAAAAAAACTGCCTTCTCGGATATCCGACCGGAGACTAGATATTTGATGTTATATTCTATCCGGATATCCAATATCCGATAATTTTATGATCCAATGCATTCTTATAGTATTACTATACATATAATCAAAAGATAACGTACTGTATTTCTTAGAATGCAAGTACACCATGCATTTAACATCCACATATGTCGTTATAGCGTGAAATACTTCTTCCGTGATTTCGATCGGTGGCAACCAATCTGAAAACTTCACTGAACCCTCACGATTTGTCGAATCGTAAACCTTATGTTCAATCATCGAAGCTGAAGAAATTGAACTGTTTAAATCTAGTTTAATTCTAGGTCTATCTTGCCATGGCTTACATGATGTCATGGTGACATCCAATTCATCTTTAGTCGGATCTTTGTCCAACCATTTAACATTTTCTTCGTTCGGTATACTCCAATGACTAGTCTCCAACTGCTGCTTAAATTCTTCTGCGAGAGTCGAGTCTGCTTTTGCAAAGTAGCTATTGAGTTGAATTAAAAATTATAATTCAAACATCACATATAAATTATGGGTCTTTTTTAATAAATAAATTAAATATTGAACTAATTTCTTACTCCTTAATGGGTAAAGCGATACCCTTCTCCACCAACATTCGATTGATAGAATTTATTTCTATTTTAGTTGGTGCTAATGGTCCTGGTATTTTGGATTGTCTTACCCAAAGCTCGACAGGTATTACGTCATCAGAAAATTCTTCATGAACCTTAATATACACAATAAGAGTAATTACATTTTTATATTCGCAATCAACATTCAGTAATTGAAATTAATATTATTTTTACATAATTTTTATAAAATAAAAATCTTTTATACAATCTATAATTTATCAGAATTCAAAGATAGAATTTATCTATATTCTTGTATGTATGTATGTATGAATTTGTACTACTACGTATATGTTTATAATTAAGCACATATATGTAATAGTCAAAATATATCCATAAGATTACAAATGGAATTTATTGGTTAAGATGATGCTTTTACAATTCCTCAAATTTATGGATTAGTGTAAAAGAAAAAAAAAAGTTATTTCTTACCGGCTTAGTGATATAAAACTTGCAATATGCATTATTTTGTATAATCTCGGACAGTGTTGCGCAAGATAATGACGGCCACGTCGATGATCCGCCACACGGCAAAATACCAGCTAGTTTCACCTTAAAGCAGTACGTCATTTCCTTCGCGAATTTTGAATGAAGAACTTGTATGTCCTTCATCGTCACAGTCTCCTCAATGCCCATGTCATAGAAATAGACTAGCACTTCTGTCGAGGACTTTATTTTCAATATTTTAGCACGGAAGTAGGACTTGTCTTTTGCGGAATACACAGTACACAATGCGCCTTCGCTCCAATTATTGCGTGGTTCGGAATAATACTTATCGTAGAATTTTTGCATCTTCAACATCAGTTTCTCGTTCTCTTGTTCATGTTCCATCTGTGCAACGTAAATGCAGTCCGGTGTGATCACCCGTTGAATACGCACTTCTACTTTGAATGGATCTTTAGGCGTCTCTTCTATCATGGATTTATCATTCTCCGTATTGTATGAAATATAGAAGTCTTTGACAGTATTGTTATCAGATTCCTCCAGTAGTGAAACATCATTTTTAACAGCCGATTGTGGTTTCTTTTGCAATTTGTTCTTAAATTTGTTGCTTTAGAGAAATGAGAAAATAATAAAAAAAAAATTGAGTATGACATACATTTCGAAAATAAAGTGCCTTTATATTAAAAATTTTATATTTGACATTAGTGCTCACCTCACGACATAATCGTTAACAACGCCTGTGATTTTTAACTGCCGGCTGATATCGATGTTATTGCTATACATTAATCCACTGTATCCGTCATCCGTTTTTTTTCGAGGATTTACCATGATAGATTTTGTGTTACTTAAGAGATTCAGCAAACTTATTATAGCTTCCTGTTTCCATGTTCCATTGGATTCAGGCATTATATACATTAGCGATATTTTTATAGCCTAAATCAAATGAGAGAAAACGATAAACTTATGTCATACTGTGCATAGAAAAAGACTCGACTTACTTGGGCCTTAAACGTGGTATATTCATATGGAATCATTCGTAATGTGTCGCGGTCTTGAATCAAAGTGCATCCCCAATCCACACAAAATACTTTGACTTGATTTTCACTAATTATTTCGATAATTTCACCACGTTGCCAAGTATCGTCTTCTAATTGTATAGCGCATGGTACACCTATGATAAATTTAAGTTAAAATT